CCTTAGGGGTCCGAGTTCTAATCCCTTGAGAACAGTGCCGAGGCCTAGCCACACTTACGGTAGAGAAGAACGCGCACCTGTCCACAGACAGTCTTAGATCTCAGGTACCCCAGTAGCACCCTTTTTCCCTTTTTATTTGGGGGCCCTTATTAAAACTGAATATTAGGAACAAAGCTACTCTTATTATTAAGGGGGTACACGGAAACCTAGGATATGCTACAGAGCTTCAGGAGACGAACCCCTGGAAGAAGAGTGCAAAGAGTAGAGGCATAGGGCATAGGGCAGAGAGCGGCAGGGGCAGATCACCCAAAGATTTGCATTTAAAAAGGTCTCCAAAATGCAAGCAAGAAAATGTTCCCGAGGTTCAAAGCCCTACCCTGACTCATCTTGGGGTCTGCAAAGAAGGTGGCCCTTGTTTGTCCTGAATCTTCTATTTGCAGTGAACCCTAACTTGCTAAATCCAAAGCCCCCTAAACCCCAAACCCCTAAACACACCCCGTCTGGAGATCCTAGTCCCTTAACCCTGGGTTTCCTGACATGGTGTGTCTGACGTTTGGCACGTGATGTGGGTGAACCCTGCTGCAGGCGGCCTACGCTGGGGGCCACATCCGTATTTTCCAGATTCTGTGCGAGAGCCGGATGAGGTGAAAAAGACGAGCTGGACATAAGCCTAAACCCTAAATTTCAATCCCAGAGCTACACGTAATCACGTGACAGCCAGGTACAGGCTGCAGAATCGATAGGCGCCCTAAGCTAATGGAAGGTATACGTAAGATGTTCATGCTGTTGACTGATTATTGTCTTGAGGCATTCAGTCACCCTGCAGAGGGCCATAAAACATGGGTCACAGCAGCAAAATCGTGATGCTACAAGATGTTTGCGGTGTTGCTCTACGGGCTTGGGTGTTTAGGTTTTATCATGTTTGATCGCTAACAGTTTCGTCCTTGATGGAGAAGTTGCCTCGTCCTTGGAGATTATCATAAAATTCAGAATGGTATCATGGTATCATGTTGGGGGCCACAATTGGCCCCCTTTTTTGAGAACCACCCCAATGTACAACCTGTCGCTGCCTACATTTTGTCGAGCACGCCTCTGTTTGGAAGTACATAGAATACATACCGACTGGGACTCTTCCCAGCAGGGAGCTTATCGATGCAAAAGTTGTGCAAGCATGGTCACGCAGCCAAGGTGACGAGTGTCAAACGAGTTGCCCAAGCCTTGACGCGGTTTGGGGTTGAGGGCTTAGGGTCCCCCTTAAGTAGATAGAATATGGCTTTGGGTATATTACAATTAGATCCCCGTATACCCCATAGTCTATCCTACACGGTAGTTTCCATTTTCTTTTCCATTTCCCCAATAGAACGGCCACTTTTTGTCTACTTAAGGGGGACTAATAGGATTCAGGGCTTACGGGGCCGAAATGCTTTTTTGTTCGTCTTTGCCATGAAGCTGCTTCTGCAGTTTGTGATTTGGCCTTGTTCCAAGACAGTTTAGGGTTAGGGTTTAGGGATCCAAGTGTAGACAATAATACTAATCATGGAGAATCAAATGAAAAATGGAAAGGAAAATGGAAAATGACATGGAAGCTGGGTTATATAGGGGTTGTATAGTGATCCATGTATACGAAGAATACTTACATTGGGTCTTCAAGTCTGTAGATCTTACCTACATGGGGCTTTTCGGATCCCAGGGTAGTGTATGTGGGTACATGATATAAATTCTTTTTGCAAGCCTCACATGTGACAAATGCAATGGGGTGCCCACTTAAATTTTGAGATTTTCTCGGGCCCGGGAAACCCTACTGCGAGAATTAGTAGTGTTTTCATAATTCTTTCCCCTAATGTTCGTAAGTCACCCGACAGTAATGTCAGTCATATAGTTCCTTCATGTTGCAGACCTATAGTCCCCCTCAATATGGCTTTGGGTATATTACAATAAGATCCCCGTATACCCCATATTCTGTCTACTTAAGGGGGACCATAATTCATGGCGCATTCTTTGGTATATAGCAGCCCCTAAGTAGGTCCAATCCTGTTTGAGGTGATTCACCAAACCCCCAGAAACACGTAGAATAGTGACATTGCTGGCTCCTGGTCATGCGTTTTGGGCCATTCATTGTTTCACCTAATTTTGAGGTACCGAAAATGTTTTCCAAGCGCATGTCTCCGTGGCCTTTCGTACCCGATACCCTGGAATTGGCACTGGACCCTTACTGGATCAATGCTAGGGATCCTTTACACTTGTTGGGCATGGGATTCACTCCATCTATGCAAAAACCATCCTTCTTCTTTCTAGGGGAAACCCTAAGCCCTATAGTAGCTTCAATTTCCTGATCCATTATATATCCCTAAACAGCCCCTAGAAATACTTATATAGCCCATAAAAATCCCTACTACTACATACTTCCTATAAATCCCTGTATAACCCCACAAAGCCCTCTGGCTTTCTACCCGACTTCTTGGCTCGCTTGAGAGCGGATTGTCTCGAGCAAAAATCGAATGAAAAGAGCATCATCTGAAGTCACATTCCCGTGGGTTGCTGTAAAGGAACTTAGGTTAACTTACTATATTGGGGAAACCCTATTTGGGGTTATATAGGGGTTATATAGGGTTTAGGGTTGTGATATTGGGGATACATTAGTAGATACTATGTATACCCATTATGCTAACCTAATTTGAGTTCCTGAACAGCAACCCAGTTTCTTCTTCTATTGTCCTGGTGACTGTGTGTAGGGCCCTTTGTGAGGTGAGCGTAGAAGTCGTGTGTCCTGGCAGAGATATTGTGATGTTCATCTTAGATTTAAAATCACCCGTAGGTGCAGGGAAGTTGTGCGCTCCTTAGTTATCTTAAAATCCGGTGAAATTGAATTGAAGACAGCCAACATGTTCGAGAATTCTCCAGTAAGAGTTCGCCAAGATGAGGTTTGAACAGCGCGGAAGGCGCGGACAGCAAGGACATTGATGCCGCAGTTAGATCCTCAGGTTTGGTTTAGGGTTATATAGGGTTTTTAATGCAGGGCATATATTGGGGTTATATTGGGATGATGGAAAAGAAATGGAAACTACCATAGGGTTTCTATAGGGCCCAAACAATTAAGCAATCACAGAACCCCACATAGACTCGTTTACACATTGGCTCTGTTCTTTGTAGTGCGTCCCCCTTTGGTTCCTGCTTGTTTGGGGGTTCGAAACATTGCATTTGGCATTGGATGTGTCTAGATGGTCTGACAGCATTTGGGACCGGAATCAGTTTTGGTGCGGTGTCTAAGCTACAAGTATCAACGATTTGCTCTTGAGTTTAGGTCTTCGCTAGAGTTATGAGCACTTATTCCACGGATTTCCTCGCAAACTTCTACAACAGTTTGAACCAAGCTGGAAGCCTGAAGCCTAATTTGTTGAATGAATGTTGTTTGTCTAGGGTTTAGGGAAGTGAGGTGGGCTAAGCTTGGGTGCAAGGCAGCTGGGTAAGCGGGTGGTTTTCGGTATAAGGTTTCCCAAAAACTCCAAACCTTATAGTCCCCCTTAAGTAGATAGAATATGGGGTATATGGGGATCTTATTATCATATACCCAAAGCCCTATTCTATCTACTTAAGGGGGACTATAACCGCGTGGTCTTGGGTCTGGTAGAGTTGAAGTTGGTCAGAGTAAGGGTTTAAGGTCTGGGGTTTACTTGCCTGTGGTTAGCTGGGAATGAAGGAATGTAAAAGAAGATGGAAACTACTCTAATGGGCTACATGGGGACTATTATAAGGATCCATTCCTTCATTTCTAGCTAATGTAGACCCCTAATTAATAAACCCCCTCCCCTTAATGGGAATTATAATGGGGATCCTAATATCAGGGCCCTTAAAAGGAAGGGGTTTGTTAATCATGGGTCTACAGTAACCTCCCTAAACCTAAGCCCCAGGGTTGCAGGCAGGTTCCATGAACACATGGGAGTTTCTCAAAATTAGGGTACCCTTATGGGGGTCCATATAATAAGGACTATAGTATCTTGGGGTCTATATTGGGGTCCTCCTATTTTGGGAAAACTACCACATGGTTGGCTTTGAATATCCCACGCGACCAAGTCCCGGGCTTGATATCCTAATGAGGGGGTTTAGGGTTAGGGTTTAGGGTTTAGGGTGAGGGGAAGCACGTCCAAATATTCGACCAACAAAGGCCTGCCAAAGCAATCCCCTCCCCTGATATGAGCACTGCCCCCCACCCCCTAATATTAAATATTCCCCATTGTTGTATATTGGGAGTATTTAATTTTAGGGGTGGGGGGGGGCTGGGGGGGCTGGGGTGGTTTTAATACTAGGGAAGGGGATTGCGTACTTTAATACAAAAATCTTAACCTAAAAAGATAACAATGCTGGCACTGGCCACATACCCAAGCCACCCCCTCAACATGCTTGTAGCCACGTGAGCTGCAGGCAAAGCACAGCAAACAATACTCACATACATACTGCTGAGTGAGTCTCCTGTGGCCCTATTCATTCACACTATGAGGGTGCAGCACGTTCTGTTTTGAGTCGCGGCTGAGGAACCAATCTGGGCTGATCCGCATCGCTGGCTTGCTTCCAACTTTTTGTGACGCTGCCGGGTGTTATGGGGACGTTTGTGGGCTACCAAGACCCTGCTACAAGCAGTGACCACTCTACTGTAGATCAGTGTTCCCGATTCTGCCCAGAAGTCTCATGCTACTTACCTCAGCCCCAAAGGACCTTAATTACTGGAAACCCTTTTTGTACCACACACAGGAACGGAGACCCTTGGGGATTTGATAGCCATCGATGAATTTCCTCGGCTATGTCTTCCACATTCCTTGCG